TTTACCCAGGCCAGGTATTTGCAAAGGTTGGCTATGACCACTGACCGACTAACCTCTGCTTTCCGTGGAGGATCAACTGTGCAGGAGTAGAGTGGTGGTACTTCAACATGTTCTGTAGCTATCTACTGGATGGTGCTGGCCCTGGGGTTTTTTGGGTGGTGCAGGCCAAGGTCAGCCCCCACCCCTGTTTTGCCTGGGGCTGCCCTACCTGAGCTTTGGACCAGTCTGAGATGGCTGCAGCAAAGCCAAGCTGTGATCTAGGCTGGCTGCTGCTAGTATAGGGCCTGGGGCCACTGAGCAAGAGGTGCAGGGCCTGAGGTGTCACTGAGGCCAACTGTTGCTTGTTTGAAAGGATTTAGGAAGTTACGAAGCATGAGCCAAGACCAGTCATTCATATGGAAAGGCTACTGTTAACAGCTCTAAGTTTTGTGGATGGATTCTGAGGGGATCTCCAGGATAGGGCGAATAGGGTTAGCAAGGTCAGTGGGGTCTTAGACATGGCATCCGCCTGTCCACTCTTCGGATCTCCCCACCTCTCTTTTTGGGCAAAAGCTGCCGCCCAGCTCTTGCCTTGATGCCAGGTACTTTATACTTGCCCGGTATGCCTCTGGTGCCTTTCAAGCTACTGGTCTGGTGCTTGACAGACTGAGTCTGAGTAAGATTGTTTATGGATTTGTAAGAGAAACTACTTAGGACTCCAGAAGTTTCTTCCACTGACTTAATCCCTGCTGTTTTTTACAGCCAGAGTTATGGGGGCTTATCTTCCTGGCACTGGAACCCTGGGCTGGGACTCCTTACTCCCAAGATATCCAAATTTTTATGTACCACACATGGGTGTGGGACCAGCCTATTCCATATCTGCACCCCTCCTACTAGTCTAGACGGATGTGGTTTTTTTAATTCCTTAGTTATCAAGACTTACATTCAACTAGATTTCTGAGTATTAATCGTTGTATAATTTAATTTTAATTTTGATGTTGTTGTGCAAGGAGGCAAAGTGTATTTGCCTCTGCCACCATCTTGACCAGAAGTACAAGTGGTATGCCATACTTCTTTTCTCCCTTTTTTTTTTTAAAGCTTTGTGTCTGTTTTAAGCTCTGTGTATATGGTACCATTAGTGTATGAAAAAGAAAGTATAAATACAGCACTTTTTCATCTTTTAAGTGCATCTGATCTTCATCCACCATCGTAAATTTAGACCTTTTATGTTTTTGTTATCATAAATTGCCCCTGTTTATGCTATAAGTTTGATTATCTTACTCATAGTGTTGTGATCTTAAATATTAAATACTTCCTGCAGTGGAGGTCTTCTAGTAATAAATTCCCTTTTCTTCTTCGTGTCTGGAAAAGTCTTTATTTCTCCTTCATATCTGAAGGATAACTATGATGGATATATTATTCTCAGCTGGTAATTTCTCCCTTTTGGTAGTTTGAATATTTGGTTCCATTCTTTACTGGCTTGTAGAGTTTCTGCTTAGAAGTCTAAAGATCACCTAATGGGCTTTCTTTTATAGGTTACTTCCTTTTTCTCCTTGGCTGCCTTGAGAATTCTTTCTTTGTCATTAATTTTTGACAATTTTAATACAATGTACCTTGGAGATAACCTTGTTGGATTGAGGTAACTGTTCTGTTTGCTTCTTGGATTCAAGCATCTAACTCTTTCTATGTGTTTGGGATGGTCCCTAACTATTTGAAAAGGCTCTGTGTTTTTTCTTCTTCTGATAATGCCTTATTCTTTCTGACGGAGTCAGATAGTTCATGTAGAGCTTTTTAATTTTTGTATGCTCTAGTCTCTTTTCTTTCTTCTGTATTTCCAGATTTCTATCTTCAATATAACTTATTCTTGCCTCCAGATAGTCGGCTTTATTTTCTATGCTCACTGGTTCATTCTTGATCTCTTTTATTGAATTTTTCATCTCCAGAATGTGTTTTGTTCTTTTTTAAAAGTTTCAATCTCACCCTGGCTGGTGGGGTCCAGTGGATTGAGCACTGTCCTGTGAACCAAAGGGTTCCTGGTTCAGTTCCCAGTCAGGGCACATGTCTGGGTTGTGGACCAAGTCCCCAGTGCACGGGGTGCATTAGAGGCAACCACACATTGATGTTTCTCTCCCTCTCTCACTTCCCCTCTATAAATACATACATACATACATATACATGCATAAAAATTTTTTTTTAAGTTTGACTCTCTTTGGTAAAATACTCATTTTGTCCTTTGATTTGTTTTCTGAGCTCATTAAACTGCCTGTATTTTCATGCTGCTTTAGTTTTTTTCAGAATTGCACTCTTGAATTCTCTGTCACTTATGTCACATATTTCCATGTCTTTAGGTTTGTTTTCTAGAGATTTTTCATTGACTTCTGAGCTGTTTTGCTACCTTGGTTATTCATGGTATTGAGGATTTCCTTCGTTGTCTAGGCATCTAAGAGTGACACTCAATGCAAAGAGATCTTTTATTATTTTCCAGTAGGTGGCACTGAATCAGGAGGGCATTTTTTTAGCACTGTGAAATACCAGAGCTAACCCCTTGACTGTCCTCAGTGTAGCTGTGATGCTTGGAAGTGGGATTGTTTGGGAAAACTCAGCTACCTTCTTTGTTTTGCCCTTTCTATAATGGCAATCTCAAACTTCCACAGGGGTCCCCCAACAATGCATCCTAATCAGGAATCAGTCACGGAATGCACCCTTTATTCAGGGAAAATAATTATTCTGCAGTAACAGTTCTTCAGTTAGTGTGCTTCTCTACCCAGTACCGAGAGCAACAGAAGATGAGTTTGGGGAGTCTACAAGGCAGCAGTGCTCCATGGCCTTGTTTCTCTTTCTCGACCGTGGCTGTACATCATTCTGTGTCCTTGCCAGGGTCTTTCAGCTCAGCCACAGCTCACACTGCTCACTCCTGCAGGGATGCCCACCAAGTGTCGCTGTTCCTTCTAACCTGCAAAGTTTAGGAAGGAAGTGCCAGCCACAACCAGCTTCCTCTCCTCTCTGAGCTGAGCCCTACTTTGAGCTCCTGTCTCCATTGCTAGTCTTGAGTCTTTCTCCCTTCTCACCTGTCCTTTTTGTTCCCATTTGCCCACCTTTAGATGCTTCAATGTGTGGATCTCTTAGGTGTGCCTGTGTGTTGAACAGGAAATCCTTTATTAAGTTATAGCTGTTCAGATTGTTGAAATTTCAGTCTAAGAGACCAAGGGGATCTCTCACACTACCATTCTTTTGACATTACTCTCAATGTGGTTTTCATTGGCATTTCCCTAATGCTAAAGATGTTGAGTGACTTCATGTATTTATTGACCATCCATGTATCTTTTGGAGAGATGTCTGTTTGGAATCTTTGACCTTCATTTTTAATTGGTTTGTCTTTTTGAGTTCTAAGAATTATTCTGGAGGGATTGAGCAAAAAAGAAAAAAATAACTTAGGAACATGGACAACATTGTGATGATTATGGGGGCTATAATGGGTGGAGGTAGAAAAGGATATAGGGGAGATAAATGGTGATGGGAAAAAAAGATCGAATAAAGTTGAATTGCGGATAGATCAATAGATAAATTTTGAGAGTTCTTCATGTGTTTTAGATAAAAGTCCCCTATCAGGTATATCTCCATACTATCTTTGTCACTTACTGTGAATCTTTATTTGAAATTTAAAAGTTTTTAAAATGCTTACAGTGAAATCCACAAGTATATCTAAAATGTGAAAACAACAGGGTCTGTGCACTATATCAAGGTTGTAGTATTATACTCTAGTTTTGCAAGACTCTACTATTAGGGAAGACTAGGTAAAGACTACACAGCATCTCTCTATTATTTTGTACAACTGCAAGTGAGTCTGTAATTATCTCAAAAAGTTTAAAAATTGTTTAATCGTTTTTATGCTAATATTTGCCTGTTAGATAGCGATTTTTTTTTTTAATTGACGAACTTCTTAGAGCAGTTTTAGGTGCACAACAGAATTGAGCAGGGGCACAGAGATTTCTCATATATCCCCTACCCCACCCATATGAAGAGCCTTCACCACTTATCAACGTCCCCACTGTAGTGGTACATTTGTTACAACTGATAGTCCTATACTGATCCATCATCTCACCACCCAAATTTCATTGTTTATGTTAGGATTCAGTGCTGGTGTTGTACATGCTCTGGGTTTTGACAAATACATAGATTGTTTTTTCTTTAAGAATAATTTTTAAAATAAAAAATTTTAATTTAAAATATTTTTAATTAGCCCTGGCTGGTGTAGCTCAGTGGATTGAGCGCGGGCCTGGGAACCAAGCAACCACGGTTCGATTCCCAGTCAGGGCACATGCCTGGGTTGCAGGCCAGTTCTCTCCCTCTCTCCTTTCTTTCCCCTCTAAAGATAAATAAATAAAATCTTTAAAAATAAAATAAAATGAATAACAACCCAAGTAAGTGAAAATAATTAAAAACAATAATTTAAAAAATATTTTTAATTATTTATGTAATGTGTAAATATATTTTAAATCCTACTTACACAGTAATTAAAAATTCCCAAGTATAGCTAAACTCACCTTTGATGAGCACCCCTCAATCCTAGTTTGTCTCTTTCCAGCACAAATGATACATTTCATTTATATCTTACTGCCCAAATTTATTTAAATTTGATTCTTGTGATTTCTCCAAGATCTAGGTAATACTGAAGAGCTTCTAAGAGTTCAGGCCCAACTCTCCACATCCTTGCAACCAGCCCACATGAGCAAGGCTGCAACCCACTAAAGACCATTTTCCTTCTTTAAAGAGATTAGAATAGTAACGTGCTGTCTTTTGAACTCACTAGACTAGCAGAGTGAGTTCGTGAAACATTCTTACAGGATGGGCAAAAAGAGTCCTTTTATTTATGTTGTGACTTCTTAATGACTTCAACACAAAGGATATATTTAAAGATACTTAAGTGAAGAAATTATTGACAAAATAGTAGCACTTGCACAGCTTGAACATTAAGGATTTTAGCTTTCTACAACTGAAGCATACTTTTTTTATGGTTCTAGAGGAGAAGAAAGCTATGTTACAAGAAATAGCTAATCAGAAAGGAGTGTCCTGTCGTGCTCAAGGCTGGAAAGTCCACCTCTGTGCCGCCCAGTTGCTGCAGCTGGTAGGTCGTCTTATCACATGCTGGAGCTGTCTAGTCAAAGATCACTTTCTTTTGAGCAATTCTGGAACATTTGCAATGAACATGGGTCATGATAGAATTTTTATATGTGCTATGTAACATAATTATTGTATGTTTCATAGATAAAATTATGACCTAAATATGTCTTAGTTCTGGTACCCAGAACCAAACTATATTGAGCACCTATGGTGTAAGACCTACAATTAAATTTCAGTACTATGTGTTGCCATGACTGGGAGCCTCAGATGGCCTCAGTGTAAGCCCCTCCTCCCCGCTCTGCTTTTTATCATGGGGACCAGGCATGTCTCCCACTTTTCACTGAATATTGGGCTATAGTCCTCTGCCAGTTTGCAGTATTATTCAGATAAGCCAGTCACATCCTCCTGTGGGAACCACGGGGTCCCTCTCCCTCTTGACACTGCAGAGCCTACCTCCTACAACCCCTGCTTGTTCACTGTGTTCCTGAATACAGCCCCATCATGGCCCCTGTGGCCCCACGGAGTGTGCAGTGTCCTCCTCCCCTGGCCTGTGAGTATGTTGACTAGTAAACTGGTATTGACCTCATCTGTCCAGTGTCAGTCAGTGTTATGTTTTCAACTATTTCCAAAACCCTAGGGCAGGAATCTTGCCTTCACAAATGAAGTGAAGGGATAATAGTCAAAACATCAACCTCGTGAAGTTTTTTTCCATCTTTGAAGTAGCTGTGATCTGAAGAACACTGTTATGAGTATATTAAAAAGAAAACAAACAATGGTACTGTGTCTAGTTCTGTACTTAACAGAGAAGCACATTTCTATGAAATTTACAGGCTTGTTTTCCAGAGGAATTGAATTTAGGGCAGTATTTAAAAGTTATCCTTGAAGATAGACTCTGAATTACTCATATGGCAAATTGTAACATAAATTGTTATTGATCAGTTTAGTCATTGAGAGAAAGGATTTCATCACCCAAACTGCTCTCGGACTAATTCAGAAAGGTGATTCCAGGTGCCTTTATTTGCCTGAAGTTGACCAAAAAAAAAAACACACCATATTTCTGAGGTCACAATGCTCGCCTCCCCACTATGTGTTGCAGACAAATCTAGAACATGATGTTTATGAAAGACTCACCAACCTACAGGAAGGGATTATCCCAAAGAAAAAAGCAGCAACTGATGATGATCTACACCGAATAAATGAACTAATACAGGTTTGAATGAGCGCTTTCCTTTCTGATCATTTACTTTATGGAATTGTTTACTGTATTCTTGCTTCTTCCTTTCCCTTTCTCATCTACTAATATCTTTAATAAAACCTATTGTTTACTTCAGCCTGCATTACCAGAAACACTAAAACATTTTTCTATGTGAAAGCCCCAAAATGGTCTCAATTTAAAGATGAGAAGTTATTTAAAAGTCAAATTATTCTCAAGATCACTGATTGACAATTACGTCTTTTGTTTCAGGGGAATATGCAGAGGTGTAAACTTGTGATGGATCAGATCAGTGAGGCCAGAGACTCCATGCTTAAGGTTTTAGATCATAAAGATCGTGTCCTGAAGCTTCTGAATAAGAATGGAACTGTCAAGAAGGTATCAAAATTGAAGCGAAAGGAAAAAGTCTAGAACCATCAAGAATTGAGACTTTGGAAACACAATTTATGAAGAATGATAGTGGGAGTGGAGGGAGGATTTTGGTTATTTTCAAAATGGAGCATTGAAATAAAGAAAATGTTCCTTAATTCACATGTGAAAGCAGAGGGACCCATGGCACCCAATGTCCCGAAAGGATCAGAGATGACCTGACACAGTGAATTTTAGGCACATCCCTCTTAAGTTTACTGTGTCATAAACACATCCTGATGCATCACTGTCTTCCAGTTGGAATCAGAGACACAAAAGATGGCTGGCATTTTTCAGCTTTCCAGATTATAAACTGTATCTGACGGATTCCTGTAGGACCCAGACTGAGCCTGGACTGAAAGTGTCCACTTGGACCACTTGTTATCTCCGTACACTGAAAGTCAAACCTCTCCCCTCACCCCAGTCGGTTCTTACTCTCTGACCTGTAAGCCAGAGCTGGCATTTTTCAGCAGTTCCATGGCACCCAGAGACCTGCACATCTCACACTCAAAAAGGATTTGAACTATCAATTGTCATTTTTAAGAACCATTTCAAAATGGAATTATTATATTGTCTGTCCTGTGTGTATCAAAAATTGGGTTTTTGTGAAAGCTCAGAGTAGGTAACACCGTAAATTGCTCTGAGTTCCTTGTTCTGAATTACACCCTTGGTTATCTGTACTTCTGTAGCTGGTGTGATGCTGTTAATTGTATGTACCACACATCTCCAAATGTTAATAAAGGACTCAAAGAAGTTTCATACATCAGCAGTTTGTATCATTTTATAAAGTTACTAATTGCTGTACTGAACATCACTTGAGTGTCGACCCTACTGGAGTTTCTTACACATTGCTGAGTCTCTTCTATTATAGTCTTGTTATTCTATCTAAAGAGATCCGCTTGTGCTGATATTTTGAAGATGCCACAGTGGCTCTTGTTTAGCTTAAATACAAGACTATATTGTATCCCATTTCAGATTTAGAAATGGTCAAGTTTTAGAACTAAGGCTGCAGTCAGTCATCAGGTGAAGTGTCCAGGAGTGTGAGTTTTCTTCACAGAGTTACTGTTGCTTCCTGTGAATCTGCTGGAGTGGTAGCCCAGTTTTGCTTCCTCTGGGCACAAGCAGTCATGTCTCTCTCTTCTGGCTGGATATTCTTGCAGAATGTATTTGTCTCCTTCCTAGACATGTGTTTCCAATTGCCAGCTTAGGGCTGGCACTCTTCTCTTTGCCCTGACTTAAACAGATTTGAGAGAAAGTCTGTGCCAATTCTAACCAGGTCTTTGGGACTAGTGCACTAGCTCTGTTTAGACTGGCTCACCTGAGACAGTCTTCTTCCTTAAATTAGAATGTTAAGCTCTCACCTAATATAAGATTGGAGGAGAAAGAGGCAAAGGAGGCTCTTGGCCTTCTGGTTAGGACACGTAGACCTGCAAAGCTTGGCTAAAGTCCTTGGGATAATGTGCTGTTTCACTAGAATGTTTCATTGGAATATAGAGCCCACTTTAAAAGGTACTGTTTACCAGGCACCAGTGTGTAATATAATTACTAGAATAGTGTCTTTCAGTCTAGACATTGGGATTTCATCCCATTTCCCTGGTCGTTGGCAAAATAATTCCAATTGCAGGATGGTGTAGTAATTTAGGGAACCATTTAGGAGCCATTTTCTCAGGCTAAAATATATGTAGGCCATGTAGTTTTAAAATAAAAAGTAAATTCTTTCTTAGACATTGGATAATGAATACATGGGTGAATCTGAAAATTTGGCCCAGTGGGCTCCCACGAGGAGTCAAAACGGAACCACCCCTGATGGCACAGAAGTACAAACCCAGAAATAGAACCACAACAAATCCCCAGGCAAAGTAGGACATATAAACAAAATTTGAATCCACAATTCTATTGTTTCAAACGAGTGCTCACTAGCAAGTTGCCTTTTCTTCTGCCAACCATTACTGCATGCACTAGCACAAAAGCCCAAATGGTCTGCTGTGGACCCCAGTGGCACAAAGCTCAAATGGCAAAGGTAGAGAACTGACAGTTTGACTCACTCAGAGTCTGTCTCATTCCCAGACCCATTTCCTTTCATCAGCCGAGTGTTTCAAGTGGCTGACACCTTGAGCAGGAGCGCAGGGAAGTTCCCTGAGATAGAGAAATCCCTGCAGTCCCACTCTCAGGGCTGGCCTGCCACAGGCAGCTAGGAACCAAACCTAAACTCTCTAGGACTTCCCAGTATCCATACTGTCCCTTCTGGGTTTGGCAAAACTGGTACAGAACCCAAGTAAGCAGTTTGTCTGATGTCTCCACCAATAGGCAAATTCTAGAGGCAGAGTCTGGTGAGAAAGGAAAGAGGTGGTTATTCAAATACTGCATGATCTGGGAGAATGGCAGACTCATCTCAAAGCCCATCCCCTCTGGAAAACTGGATGAAAGACCAGTTGTCCTCAACCAGACGAAAACCAAAGGCAGTGTCCAGAATTCCTTCTCACATTTAAAGTACCATCCTTTGGGAAATGCAGGCGGTTTCTGAGCAGTCATTCAGGCAGCTAAGTTTGTGCCCAGATACTGTCCAGCTTCAGGTTCTCTTCTGGAACCTGTGCGTGTGGCCTGTACTGCCATCAGCCATGTGCCTTTCAGGGCCAGAAGTTCCTGCATATACACCAGCTAGTACCTTCACCATGTGGATAAGAGAGTTCCTTGGGTTTATATTAGTTTGGGGTGTGGGATGGAACTGGTGCTTTTCAGAATGCCCAATTAACTTCCCAAACTTTCACATGCTCTAAAAGGGTCCACCACCGCCTCCCCGCCAAATAATCCCTTCTTTTCCCCAGGCTAGACTGACAGAATTCTTTGGTCCAACACCTCCCCCTCTCTGATTTTGTGGCACATGTGCCTGCTTTCCCCTGGTTCCACCCCCAGTCAAATCCCAGGTTGGTCAATTCCTATACAAATGAGGACCACAAATCTCACAGCTTGATCATTCCACATAGCACTGTCCTGATTTGTAGAAATAGAGCTACTCCAATTCATTGGTGAAGATAAGAGAATATAGCTGTGCCGCTTTGATTGGACAGGAAAGTCCCAAGTTCTATTGGTCAGATTTCATCTAGGAGTTCTCTTATGAGGGTCAATTTAGAGGACAGGAGCCCAATGCAGGAAGCTTGGAAGCCCAGTCTGGCTTTTCCCTGGAATGCAGCATTTGTGAGGGATCTTTGAAAACAATGGCTGCTAGGCTCTGGTTAGGAATTGAAGTCCATTAACTACAGGTGTCTTTTTGACAGGTACATTTTCCAGGCCAGCACTAGGCACCTCAGAAGTCCTGCAATTGCCCCATCCCAATCACAACCCACTACATCCATCCAAAATAACCAGGGTCTTTGACTTCTTTTGAATAACCTATTTTACTGCAGTATAATTACATAAAATTAAGTACACCCAAACCTTAACTATACAATTTTATGCACTTTGACATATATATAACATCTGAATAAAGAGACATGACACTGCCATAACTGCAGTGTCCCTTTGTAGTCAGTATACCTCTGCCCCTACAAGAGTAGACACCAATCTGTTACAGATTTCTTTGTTGTTGAACCTTATATAAATGGAATTATACTGTCTATACTTATTTGTGTCTGGCTTTTATGCTCAACATAATTTGAGATTCAGATAAGTTGATTTTTTTTCATTGCTCAATGGTGTTGTGTTGTGAGAATATACAACAGTTTGTTTATTCATGTCCCTATTAAAGGGCATCTTGCTTCCAGTTACTGACTATTGTGAATATTAGCTATTATAAACATTTGTATGCAGGTTCTTATGTGGAAATAAATCTTCAAATCAGTTGGGTAAAAACCTAGAAAAGTGATTGCTGGATCATAAGATTAAAAGAAACTGTCTTCAGCCCTGGCTGGTGTAGCTCAGTGGATTGAGCACGGGCCTGTGAACCAGACAAACGCGGTTCGATTCCCAGTCAGGGCACATGCCTGGGTTGCAGGCCAGTTCCCAGCAGGGAACACACGAAAGGCAACCATACATTGATATTTCTCTCCCTCTCTCCTTCCCTTCCCCTCTAAAGATAAATAAATAAAATCTTTAAAAAAAGAAACTGTCTTCAAAAGTGACTGCATCATTTTACATTCCCACCAGCACTAAATGAGAATTTCTGTTGCTCTACATCCTCACAAATGTTCAATGTTGTCAGTGTTTTGTAGTTTATCTATTCCATAGATGTGTATTGGTATCTCATTGATTTCATTTGTAGTTCCCTAATGATACATGATGTTAAGCATTTTTATATGTTTGCGCTATTTTTATATTGTTTTTGTTGAGGTATTTGTTCAGATATTTGCCCATATTTTAATTTATGTTGTTTGTTTTCCAATTCAGTTTTAAGAGAATTCTTTGTGTATTTTGGTTATCAGTCTTATTCAGATGGGCGTTTTGTAAATATTTTCTTACATTCTGTGGCTTTCCCTTTATTTAGTGCCTTCTGAAAAGCATAAGTTTTTTTTTTAAGATTTTATTTTACTTTTTTAGAGAGCGAAAAGGGAGAGAGGGAAACATCAACATGTGGTTGCCTCCCACGTGCCCCCCACCTAGGGATCCAACCTACAACCCAGCCATACAATCCCGGACTGGGAATCAAACCAGTGACCCTTTGGTTCGCAGGCCGACACTCAAATCTACCAAGCCACACCAGCCAGGGCAGAATTTTTTTCTTTTTTTAATAAACTACAACATCAGTTTTTTTCTTTCATGGATTGTGCATTTGAATTATATCTAATGACTTTAACAAACCCAAGATCACCTACATTTTCTCCTATGTTTTGTTACAAGCTTTTAATAGTTTTGTTTTTTATAAAATGGATCATTTTAATGTAATTTTTGTGAAAGTGTAAGGTTTGTGTGAAGATTTTTTTGTGTGTGTGTGTGTGGATGTCTAGCACCATTTATTGAAAAGACTATTATTTCTCCATTAAATTGCCTTTGCTTCTTTGTCAAAGGTCAGTTTTCTATATTTGTGTGGGCCTATATTTCTTTCTGGGTTCTCAATTCTTTTCTGTCAATCTACTTCTCTATTCTTTTGCTAATACCACTCTGGTTTTTTTAAAATATATTTTATTGATTATGTTATTACAGTTGTTTTATTTCCCCTCTTCATTCCCCTCCACTCTGCACACCCCCTCCCTCACCATTCCCCCCCTTTAGTTTATGACCACGTGTCTCAAGTTCTTTAGATTCTATATTTCCCCCACTATTCTTGCCCTCCCCCTATTTTCTACCTACCATCTATGCTACTTATTCTCTGTACCTTCTCCCCCCTTCTCCTTCTCCTCCTCCTACTCCCCTGTTGATAACCTCCATATGACCTTCATTTCTATGGTTCTGCTCCTGGTCTAGCTGTCCTCTTAGTTTGCTTTTGTTTTAGGTGTGGTTGTTAATAACTGAGTTTGCTATCCTTTCACTGTTCATATTTATTATCTTCTTTTTCTTAGATAAGTCCCTTTAACATTTCATCTAACAAGGGCTTGGTGATGATGAACTCCTTGAATTTGATCTTATCTGAGAGGCACTTTATCTGCCCTTCTATTCTAAATGAAAACTTTACTGGATAGAGCAATCTTGGTTGTAGGTCTTTGGGTTTCATGACTTGGAATACTTCTTTCCAGCCCCTTCTTGCCTGTGAGGTCTCTTCTGAGAAATCCGCTGACAGTCTGATGGGAACTCCTTTGTAGGTGACAGTCCCCTTATCTCTGGCTGCTTCTAGAA